AATGTCTCAGTTCCTGATTCTTCTCCTCTGCACTCCATTTACAGTAAACTAACATAGGCTACCCAGTGCTTGAATTGGGCTGGTAACTCACAGTACGCATGACCACTTATGCTTCCTCGTCGCAAATTGATAGTCTAACCCTAACCATTGTGCGTGCAAAAGAACTGCAAAGCAGCACATCTCGATAGGTAGCATAAATCTCCAGCACTACATTTTACATTTTACTGTGACTTTTTCTTGCCCATTGGCACTTCTCACAAGCTGCTGTTATAGGCCTACTCTTTTCTGGTTGTCTGTGCGGTTCATATGACCCTAAATAAACTATATTACCCAATGAGCACTATGTGATGAAGGGAGAACAGCAGAGCTGATACTGGAGCTGTTGAATGGCATATCAGATATTTTTATTTTGATTAATCCATTTTGAGATATATTGTAGTCTGCTGGCCAGGAAGTAATAAAACAATTTGGTAGTGCTAAACCATCACAATCTTTTTTGGCAAATCTTTATTGTTCAGAAATGTATCGATGTTACATGTTAAAGTTCTCCAAGCTTTGCAACTGGGATTGAGTCTTTTTATCAATAATAAATAAATTTTCTAAAATCGTTCAGCATATGTTCCTGGAAGGCAGCATGGGCACTTCTAATGTTTTTATTTTTTGTTCTAGCTCTAATTCATGAGATCTCTATTTATTTTTTTGTCTAATGAGTAGGAGATTTTTACCTCTCATGGTTGCTTTTGCTGCCTCCTAAAGAACACAGTGAGATTCCTGTCAGGTCATTAGTTTCCATAATATTGCGCAATCCTTTTTGAAATAACTACAAAAGTTAAGATATGTATGTATGATGAACTTGGGTATGAGGATTATCAGTTAAAAAAAAGGCAAGTGATGGGGGAATGAGGGGCAAGAGGAAAAAAATTGATGCGTCTTTTGAGTTGAGAGAAAATGTTTTCTTTAAACCATGGCAAAGTTGAAACATGGACATAATCAACTAATTCGGGTTGAGCGTGTACTCTGTTGAAACAAGTATCTGGTACAGATATTGTACTTTTAACAAGTACGAGTATCATCAGAGTAAAGTGTTTGTTCTCTTACTATTGAAATCAAAAATATTGCTCTGAAGCTCAATTCTGAGGCTGCTCTATAAATAGTTTTCTAACAAATATAGCAAATATAGCTAGTATAAAGTAGCATACAAGAGAAACACTCGAGTAAAGTACAAACAGCCAAAACTGCATAGTACAAAACTGTATAGTTTTTGAGTATAGTTACATTCCAGCACTTATTACCTTTTTCTATGTATTCCTGTCGATGGCTCATTGTGTAACTTTATATGAGTTTTTCAGATCCCGACTTCAGAACAAGAGGTATCAGTTGATGAGGAAACGTTCTCTGAAAAAAAAAGCCAAAATGGTAAAATTCTTTGTGTTACTGTGGAAGTAAAATTTTCCATTTGTTCTGTAAAATTCGTATTTTTGACAACTTTGGCAGCATTAGACCGACAGACCAATAGACAAATGGTATAAACTGATACAGCACACACATTTAAAACTCACCACTGACTTTTCATCCTGCTCTTTTGTAGGATTTAAAACTTAACATCAATATATACAGCACATCAACCATCAACCTCTGGCATTTTTGTGACCAGCAGTGACACTTTGTGCTACTTAAGTGTTCACAGCTTTCTGTAAAAAAACAACTTCCTGTTGCACTCAAAGATGGGGAGGATCCTTTATCTTAAAGAGTCTAGTGCCCCAAACCAATTTTTTGTCATGTTATGTTTGTGGTTTCAGAAACCATTCTTGTGCAATAACCCAGTAACTCTGCCTCTTATTATTTATTCACCATTCTCTGTTTCAGAGCTGTTCATACCGTTCATGTTGTCATATTGTATATACTGTATACCAAATCCACCTACCTCGTGTACATAACACCACACACAATACTTATTTATTCCTGCATTCTTTACACCCTGTGTACATGTATGCTTGTATGTGTATGTGCACCTGTATATCACATCCACCTCCGACAAACACAATAATATGTTACAACCCGGCTCATGTGGAAAGGGAAGCACGAACCATGAACCAGAGTGTTTTTGGTAAAAGTGCAAGTTGTTTATTGTTGACAGGGTTTACAAAACAGAACGGAAAAGCGCTGGTGGATGCTGCTTAAATCAAAGAACCAAATATAACTTAAAGAGGTCTCTCCAACTGAGAGATAGCCACTTGCTAATCCAAAAATCAAACTAAACAAAACTCTGACTTGCCCAGTAAGAAACAAAATACAAAATGAGCGGCACCCTCTAAGCCCAGTGTGTCTAACAAATAGTGTTGTGTCGTTCAAAGAACGTTTCGTTGATAACACCAAATCGTGTGTATGACTCGGGAGGAACGGGTTGTCTCAGTGAGTGATTCGTTCATTTTCACGCATGCATGAAGGATCTTGGACTCTTACGTTCACTCGTCACACAGCAGCTGCATGGGATCCGTCAGCACAGGAAACAGAATTGATTAGTTCACGACTCTCAACTGTGGGTCTCTGGGTTTGACTCTTTCATTTGTCACGTGACAGCTCCTACTGTGGGGCAGGAATGAACTACTCTCGTTCACCGCTCACATGGGTCCTGCTAGTGTTTAACATTACAGCTGACAGCTGATGAGAGTTGTTCTGGGTCCACTCTGAGAAAGCTCAATTCTGAGGCTGTCGTCTCCTCTCCAAAACAAACAGACCCGGTCATTAAAACATTAAAACACAGCCAGGTAGCAACGTTAGCGTTAGCCCTGTAAACCGCTAACAGCTGATCCAGGTCCGCCAGAGAACGCAATGTAACTTTTCCTTTTATTTACCAACAGAGCCTGCTGTTGTTTCTCAGCTCGTGACTGGTGAACAACCTGCAGTGTTTGAGAGCGATGTGCTCATGTGTGTTTCTCTGTCTGCAGAATCAGGACCTGATGTGGTCCATTCTGCGTCCAGAACTGCCAAACTGCTGCGTTTACATGTGTTTATTTCTTTGTTCCTCTCTCTGTGCTGGAGTTCTTTAAGAACTTGGTGGCTTGATCCAGATTATTATTAAATTGGTTGACTTTTAATAAGAGTGTGTTTATTCACAGTGTATCAAGCTTATTAGTTCAATACATTTACTGCAAATCTGATATTCATATTTTACTCATGGATAGGGACGTTAGGCTAATGTATGAATGAGCACTTTAGAGATAATGATAGTAATTATATACATAAGCCTTTACATGGCTGGTCTGGTTGTATACTTGGAAAAGATTGTGAAAATGGAAGGAATGTTTTTTAATCGCCCACTAGAGGGCTGCAGCGCCACAATAACCAGCCTAGTTCAAATGAACGAAATGACTCAAAAAAAGATTAGTTCATTTTAATGAATGAGATTTGAATGAATGGGTCTGTCAAAATACTCGAACTTGCCATCACTACTAACAAACTTAACTGCAGGTCGATATCAGTAATCCCCCACTAGGGTACTTGCCCTGCTTCCTTAACACAATTCATAGTAAAGGTAACTCTGACACTAAGAACTAACACTTATCACTAGAACTAACGCTTCTGCGGATTAATATTCAATAACACTGTATGGTCAACGACTCAATACTATAAATTAACTAAATGTTTGGATTTATCAGGAACACAGTATCTGGATACTGTGAAACTTAAGTTAATAGCCCGGACTTGCATTTGCTTCAATCACTGAACTCACCGTGCCTATTTTTGGGACAGGCTTCGATACGGTACAGGCCTTTAATTCCTTTTGCACAAAACTCTTGCTCAGTAAAGATTGCCCCCTATCAAATTGTTTATTTCAACCTGTATGAATATTACTTGTATAAAAATGTGGCTTTTTTTCATCTGTCGTTTACCACACCAGTAAATCCATAAAATAAACTAAACATTATGTTGATATTTAACATTTAAATAAAACCAAACCAGGCGTCAAATTGAGAAATGTGTTTATTTGTCAAAATGTGTGTATAAAAATAACATTGCTCCACATACTGTACTGAGATTGCTTAACCAGACGGAGACTTAAACTGAACTACATTTCATAAACCAGTTTCCAGTTTCTGCTGGTTTCTCACAAATACTTCTGTGAGGCTTTTTGCAGGATTTATCAAACCAACACTTCAGGTCATGAGCTCCTGATTTCTCCCCCATCCTCGCACAGTCTTCTCCATCAGGATCTTCATATGTCCAGTTGTCTGGCTCAATGCTGCTCCAAAAGGACAAACTGAGATAGTGAGATAAAAAAGAACTGGTTCAACAAAACTGGAAACTTTGATATTGGAAATTGACAAAAACATCTGTTTACAACAGTGAAACCTTGTGTTCAGCGGAGAGCCATCTGCCCACAACCATGTGCCCTCTTCCTTTGAGTCTGTCAGTCCGATCCAGAACTTGTCCTCAGGTTCGTTCATTTTGTCTCTCAGTTTCAGCTCCAGGAATGTCTGCACGGGAAAGTTGATGAAAAGGCAACATGTAACATCACTTTTCTGAGCTGAGAGATCATGTTAACTAATGCAGAAATATAAGGATGTGATAAATGAAGCCAGTGAGCTACATGAACCTGCAGCAGTGTGTTATACCTGCTCCTCTCTGCTGTCTATCTTAACCAGGTCTCCTCCTTGTTGTTGACATTCATCTCTGCTGTTATTCCAGGATGAACTATTGGTGGAGAAATAATAGCACTTTCCTCCATGTTGCTCCCAGCCTTCCTCACATATCGGACATGACTCATCTTATAAGAGTGGACAGCAAAGACTTCAGTCAGGTGCAACGAACCACTGTTTATATTTGAGTGATTAATAAGCAGCAGGAGCTTTGAATCTGAGCGCAGCTGAGACAATCAGAGAGAAGCAACAGTTTTCTGCTTCACAGGTACAGTATGTTGCCAAATTGCCAATATAACTTTGTATTGTATCTGTCAGTTGATCACTGTTTCTTTCTTTCTTTGTTTTTTTGTGGGCTTTTTTGTCTTTATTTTTTTATGATATGACAGTTGAGGGATATGAAATGTCGGGGAGAGAGACAGAGAAGAGGGGATGACCTGCAGCAAAGGCCCACGGGTTTGAGCCTAGTGGTGAGCTAACCAGGGCTCCCACCGTTAATCATCATCAGAGGATGCAAAAATGTTAGAAAGGAAAAATCCATCTCTCACTTTTACTGCAGGAGGTTGTGGCATGTTTGCTGCACCGTGTTGCATGGTCTTTCATGGTGCAGTTGAGCTGAGAGATAATTAACAGACTAATATCAGAATTAAACTTAAAACCATCTGTTGATAACCATCCAAGTTTAATTAAACATATGCCACATTTTGAAGTGACCTCATGGACTAAACCTTTTAGACAGTTTCAAACACAAACAAGCTTACCTGTGAGATTACTTTTCACAGCTTCATGCTCAGCTGTCAGTTTTTGGAGACGTTCCAGGGTTTGACTGTTTTTATAAGCTGATTTTAAAAATGGAGGTCAAACATATTATTTGGTATATAACTTATTTAGTAAACTACTCAGTGTTTAAAGAAAACATCTGTTTATCAGAAGAGAATCACTCCAAGATTAACTTGTATATAAACATGTATATTAATATGAAAGCCGTTCTGTTGACATTAATTACATTTTAATGTTTTCTGTTCTGTTAATGCAAACAAACCCAAAAACCTGCTCAATCATCTGCCATCTTTCAGATTTCATGGGTCACTCTAAATGAATTACTTTACAAACTCACAGGTAACACCAAGAGCGATGACAGCAGCTGCCAGGAGAGCACTGAGAACTACCAAGGCCACTCTCTCTGACTTGAGCTTTGACCCTCCTTTTTGTTGGGACCCTGTTGAACAGAAGAAGACAGAAAATTCAAGTCACTCAATTAACCAGGTTAGTTAAGTTTTGAATGTTGAGGATGAATGAATGTGATTAAGGGATGAATGGAGGGAGGAAGTTGTCTGTTAAAGGAGAGGAGCGATTCCTGTATGGCAGCATTTCTTTTAAATACTTTAAACTCATTATTTGAATCTTTTGGCCACATCCAACATTGTAGAAAAGTCATCAAATATAGGAAAGCATAATATGTCTCTTTTAAGTCCGGTCTGGGACGGATCTCTTGTTGATATATACCTAGACTATACCATGGTGGAGGAAATATTCAGATCTTTTACTTGAGTAGAAATACTAATGCTACACTGATCCTGCATTGAAATGTTAATCTAATTTTTAAATCAACTAGTAACTAAAGCTGATAGATAAATGTACTGAAGTAAAAAGTACAAGAACAAAAAGGACTGAAAGAAAATTTACATATAGTACCTCAAATTTGTGCTTTAGAGTGAATGTCCAGATTGTGTTTGACTTTTTAAATATCTTTTACTGCAAACTGCTTTCTTCCTTCAAAACTGAAATTCAGATCCTAAAGCTGGGAACTTCTACTAAAAATCTAAATCTTTATAATCTAAAAAGTTCCCCTTTCTGCAAATACATGGCAAATTAACTGGAGTAATTCTACAGGTTAGAATCATTGTTTTAAAGAAGCGACACAGGTTGATATACTGAGATTTAAAAAGAAAAAAAGAGATTTGAACTTGTAACACTGAAAGATTCAGTATGGCTTTTAAATCTGTGGTAATCCATTTATGTTTTTGCTTTTAAGAACCTTTTGGAAACACTATCATAGCAAAACAAACATTTCATATATTCACACACAGAACATTTTCTGCAGGTTGCCCTTTTACCTGTTGCTGCTCTGAGCTCTTTCTTACATTGCAGGTTTCTTCAACTTCAGTTTATTTATAAGTTAATTTATTGGGCAGCAGTAGCTCAATAACGATAGAGGGTGGCCGGTTCAAGTCCAGCACGCACAAGTACAGAGTGTGGTAACTGGAGAGGAGCTGTTTGCGTTCTGTGTATGGTCGAGGCGCCCTTGACTATGGCCACTGAAACCCCAAGTCCCTAAATGCTGCAGCGGCAGCTACAATATGACAGGAAAAGGAAACATGAAGCTTGACACTTTGTTTAGAACATACACTTTGTGTGTATAGTTCCTTTTTTTTTTTTTTTTGACCACAAAATTTCTTCTTCACGCCAAATTTTGCAATAAACTACCAGACCTTCTCAACACGTCCTCTTTACCAAGTGGTACATGTTTTCTCTTTCATTCCTTCTTTCAGTTGATAAAAAGCGAGAGATATTACAAGAAAATGTAAAAAATGTGTCTGTCTGATTTTGACTTCTTTAAGCTATAATTGTGTATATCTTTTAGCCGTGACAGGCTACGGTATCCACATCGCCTCTTTCACAATGTAAGTTTCTGGGAAAATTTTAACCTGAAAATTAGCATAATGTGGGACCTTTATAGTTACGGAATATGTTTTTACAGTCACTTTTGAACATTTCTCAGATCAGAAGTGAAATTCTCAAAACCACTTCTACATCATAAAAGCAATTTCTCATTCTTTCAATATTGCAAACGTTTTTGGCACAGTCATGCGCATGATCATGTACAGTTATTATCTATTACTTATATGTTCATCACAATATATTAACTAGTTGTACCCCCCAACACAGGTATTTGTTTATTGGATAAGTCACTACATGCAAAATGGTTGAACCAGTTGTCATAATCTGTCAAGGATATTTTCTATACATGGCTATTAGACTTTTTTCTAACGTGTCCTGAAATAATGCTATGAAATGCTGTAAACCGTCTAGTCTTTCTCTTTTCTGTATTGCAATCACATGCTCTGTCAACAATGAACTTTGAATCCTGCCCAATCTCTTGCAATGTAAAACTTTGTACTGTCGAAATTGATTTAGGCCATATGGATCATTGTTATTAAACTTTAGCCATAGTTTACCTCAGAAAATACTATAATATAATACAGAGTACACTGTTATATGACGACATGGATAAACATTTTGACTATGCTGTTTGTAAACACTGACACAAGGACTTTCTCATTCTGATGGCGCTGACATTGTTCACTGAAATAAAGATTTCTATTGAGAAACTGACTAAGGATTCTGAGCATGTTCCGGGCTTTTTAGCACTTATTGTTTTTCAAATGTTGAGGATGATTCAAGAAATTTACCAAAGCAACTGAGAAAAACTGTAACAGTGCTCATCCAACCAAGGTTGAGGTCAAGGGCAACTGGATTTGGTTGAAGAGACTAGAAGATCCTTAAATGGATAGATATAGGCTACAGATAGTATCATAATTAAGACTTACCCCCGGCATTTGTATTTGCTCTTGTGAATTTCACATCGGAGTACACCACATCAGCTTCAGGCATTTTACTGCTGTGACCATCAGTGAGTTTTAAAGATAAAGAGATGCTGCTGTTTCCTTCCTGTGAGAGTCAAGGATGGGGAGAACTTGATGGTAAATATTTTACTTCCCTTTTTGTTCAGACGTGGCCGTGTGTGTGTGTGTTACACACAAAACATACGAAGAGAGCACGACATAGTAAATGCTGATGTAGACAGGCAGATGTTCTAAGCAGCCTACGTAGCCTGTTAAATAATGTAGCCTATTTTATATGATACAGTATCTTCTACCCCCCCCCCCCCACACACACACAATAAGTAGAAGACAGTTCTATATAAATAAGTAAGTAAAGCTTGCAAAGTACAATAAATACATGATAAATAGGTATTAAATTTTAAAAAGATTGAGTTAAAAAGATAAATAAAGAAATAAAATAAATCACAAATCTGCGCACACATGGACATACACATAGATCAATGAGTTAATCAGCCATTCATGTTTCTAATGGACGTGGGTACAAAACTTGTCATGGCTCTCTTGGTCCTGAATCTAAGTCATCTGTATTTCTGGCCTGAGGGTAATAGACTGTAGTGGCTGTGCAGTGTGTGAGTGGTGTCTGGGGCTATTTTCCTTTTTTTATCCTCCTGTTGTAAATACTGATAAGTGGTTCCTGCACCTGTCCGATTATTTTACTGCTCATTGTTATGATTTTGTTTAGTATGTTGCGATGGATGTTGGATAGTGATCCAAACCAGACTGATATATTGAAGGTAATTACAGATTCAATGAAGCATTTGTATCAGGACTGACTGGCTGACCCTGAAGTCTACGGAGCTTCCTCAAGAAAAAGAGGCGCTACTGACACTTGGAGAAAATGTTTTCACTGTTTGGTTGGAAGGAAAGTTATCCATTATTGTCCTGAGGTATCTATATGATTCAATCCTTTCTATTGGCTGGTTGTTGACTAACAGAGTGGGGATGATGGAAACATCTTTGCAGAAGTCAACAACCAGTTCCTTTGTTTTAGAGGGGTTGCGGTCAAGACAGTTCTGCTTGCACCACTCTCACTTGTAAGTCTCGTAGTAAATTAGTGGTATCCATGTCATCGGAATATTTAATGTATTTTATTCTGGGGTTAGTGCTCCTGCAGTCACTAGTGTATTGTGACTATAGTGTGTACAGAACCGGTGAGATTACAGAGCCATGTGGAGGACCGGTGGAGAACTGAGGTGACTGTTGACTCTGACCCACTGGTGTCTCTGTCAGAAAAGACAGGATCCAGAGAATAAGGTGCAGGTTCACGTCCATTTGGAGCAATTTTTGTCCCATTGGGTGAGGTTGCACCACGTTAAAAGCACTTGAGAAATCCACAAAACCAGTCTGATGAGTGACCTGGGCTTTTCAAGATGGGAATAAGTGCCATGTAGCAGTGTTAATATGGCATCATCCACACCTCTATGCTGTTTGTATGCAAACTGAGGGGGTCAACATGCAAACTGACCTCCTCCTGAAGCTGGGAAAGAATAAGCCTTTCAAAGCCTTTCATTACCAGAGATGTTAATGCCACAGGCCGTAGTCATTGTTGCAGGTGGGATTGCTCTTTTTGGCCATTGGACAGATGACTGAGGATTTCCAGGTTGATGGGGTTGTATGTTCTGACAGATAACAGAAAGAAACACCTGCCAGCTGGCTGCAACAGGCCTTCACCAACCGTCCACAGATCTGATCAGGTCCTGGTGCTTTGTTTGGTTTCATCCTCTTCAGCATGAGTTCCACTTCCTCCTGCCGCAACTCCAGATTTGGTTGTGCAGGATTCATAGGAGTGAGCTCAGCTATAAGCTCATTCCTCTCTTGTGAATAATCAGTCTGGTCAAACCTGGAGCAGAATTGACTGAGGTTGAGTTTCTCAACTTTGTTCTTGTATCCTTTCTTTGCTGATTTTATTTCCTTGTTCAGTCTGTTTTGGTTGAGTTTGGACTCAGTTCTGCTTCCTAAGTTGAATGCTATTTTCTTTTTATTAAGAGTGGTTTTTAGTGCTTTTGTAATCCAGGGTTTATTGTTAGAGAATACTTTCACAGTTTTTCGCGGGACAATCATATCCTCACAGAAGGTGATATAGTGGGTAACCACTTCAGCGGCTTCCTCTTGGCTGCTCCCCTGAGTTAACACCCAATCTGTGCAGTCAAAGCAGCCCTGTAGAGACTCAGCCACATTATCATCCCACCTTTTTACCAGCTTCTTGGTCACGCCATCTCTCTTCAGTTCTGTACGATAAGCAGGGATCAGATGGACCACATTATGGTCTGCAGTGCTAAGCGGTGTTTTTTTGTATGCATTCTTTACATTACCATAACATAGGTCGATCATTTTGTCACCTCTGGTGGTGCATGACATATTGTTGGTAGGTTGGAAGTGTTTTGTTTAGCCTGCTGCCATTAAAATCCCCTAAAATGAGAACTGGGGAATCTGGGGATGAACATTCAATCTGATGGACACGTGCCGCTGTGGCCTCTAAGGCCTCTATTTCCATTGGTAATCACGGCCCAGCCTGCGTTGTCTCAGTATCAGCTCTCCGCAGTCGTCCAAGTTCAGTGCTGGATAATCCATATTTCGCAGAAGCAGCAGGTCGTCCCTGTTGTACCGTAGAATTTCGACCCATGACTCCCAGATAATGCCATTAGCAGTTCCACTGCCCGAGCAGCAAACATTCATAGAAACCGTGATATTACTCTATTTGACACTTGCACTCGGAACACACTTAAATAACTAGACAATCTTAACACGCAACAAGACGCTCGCCACCTGTTGCCATTACCGCCAACCCAAATTATATTATAGTTATAACTAACAGTGTTTTTGTAGCGAATCAGGTTATGCTGAAGACCTTCAAGAAAATTTAGGATTACACCTATCTTCCCAGTTTGTGTAAGCAAGACACAATGCATTGAAAAAGACCGGGTCAGGCCAGCCTGAGCTGGAACACTTAAGTAACAGTAAACAGATAACCATTGGCGGCGATTTATGTTTCTGCTAACAACTATAAAAACAGTAAGTTTCTTGTTCATATACAGATTTAGAGTATGCCTAAGTATTCAAAGCACGCATTTCAGTACCATAGGAAAATAACATGAACTGACACACACAAGCACAGCGAACAGGGATTAGAGATCAAAAGTTTAACTGATGCTAGCCTGCACACCATGAAACCCACGGAAAGTTAATCATTCTACCTAAAAATCTTTGTAGAAAAATCCTCACACATGAACATAATCACAGGCCAAGAGTACAATCCAAGACAAAGCCGCCATCGTTGTTGAGACACCACAACAAAGGCCTACATTAACAAGCCAAACAAGTTAAGCTATGGGCTAACCTACATACACAGTAAAATACATTACATTTTTTTCCATCAACGCATAGGCCCACACACACACACATCTACTAAATATTAAAATTGGATTTGTTGTCACTCAATATCGACGTTACTTCTTTATGGAAAATGTTACTCCTTGCAGCCATGCGCTTGATGAATTAATCTGCGATTACATCAAGGTTTCCTAATTTGTGATCTTATGACAGTTCAATAGGGCAACATGATTCAGTCTCATTTGTCCAATTGTGGATTGCAGATAGGTTTTCAGTCGCCTTAGGCCTGAAAATGACCTTTCTGAACTGCAGGATGTTACAGGGACAGTCAGCACGAGTTTTACAAGTTTGGTGATCTCTGGCAACATGGTTCTCAAGTGCTCTCCCTGATCGCCTTTTACAAAGTCCACAACATCTTGAAAAGTAATTAGGCAAACATTGACATTTTGCTACATCCATGCACATATAACAATGCTGTGTGAGCTTGGTCTCATCTAACATTGCCGCTTCATTTGGCGGACATGTACGGCGCAGCCTAGGCTGGGTCAGGTAGAGTTACTCTGGTTCAGACCAGACCCATTGTTGGGTCAACCACAACCAATGACAGCAGCTTTGTTACTGCCATTAAATCAATGTAAATTTGGCCAACGACTGTCCACTGCTACACGTAGGTGCTCAGCATTCTCCGTGGGTGCCCAGGCCCCGTAGCACACAAGGAATTGGCGCCCATGCTGCTAACTACCAACATGTCATGTGTACAGTCAGTCAGAGTGCTAAAAAGTTACAGATGCTCACACTTATACACACTCAGATATTTAATCTGTTTGTGTTTATGTATTATCAATTTCCTTATCAATCTGTGCATATTCTGATTGCCTATTGACCCTGTACCTGTCTCTGTATTTTCTAGTTCCATCCTCCATTTTTTTCTTCTTAATTCTTACTTTTTTGGCACCACACATTTCCTTTTCCTTTTTCTTTCTTTCTTATTGACATATTTACCGTCTATGTTGCATTTGTCACAATAACCTGGGCTGCGTTTAGGCCTGACAATGACAAAATGCGCAAACCAGTGCAAAGTTTTGAGATTGAACTCGCCCCAGATGGAAAGAAAATTCCTTTGATCTGCGCCGTTGAGCCAATCAGATTTCAGCAAAAACGAGGATCGATCCAAGTTGGGATTGGATTCCCCCTCAGTATTGAAAGTATTAGTTTGGCCCAGTCTAATTAGATTTATTGGCATGACTGTATAACAACAATATTGCCAAAGCATCATACAAACTACATAAGAACAATTAACCCCATACATTTCATTAAAAGTAATTAAAGCGTAAAGTAATTAAAGCGTATGTGTGTTTGTGTGTGTGTTAGAAAAATTTAAATATATTAAAAATTTAAATAAAATAAATACATGATACACATTCCAGTAGGTGCCGAATTTTGCATGCCCACAAGAATTGCATGCACTTTCTAATAGCCTACTGCCTTTAAACGCTATGATATTCTTTGTGGGCTTTATCAGTGGGAACTTCGATAAACGATTCGAAGTATATAGACTATTTATGAATGTTTAGAGTCGTTAAAATTTATTACACTTAGTAAAAGTAGCATTCCTTGAGATTCAGCAGAAATATGTGGTGATAACCGTGTTTGATCAATGTGCACAGCAAAGTGTCTGAAAAGGACCTTAAGAGGTGGATGCATAAATCGGCAGAACGGATGTTGTAAGCTATCTGCTGAGATTTGCATCCACCTGTTTTTCAGAATGTTGCCTTCCGCAAGATTCATGCAATTCTCCGCAGATCATAAAGCAAGACATCTGAAAGTGAAAAATAAAAACTCTTGACCACTGGCCGGTTCGGCCTGGAATGGACCAGCCGTTCTGGAGTCTTTCTGAACTTCACGACAGCCAGTCTACCCCTGCTCACATCTACCAACAAAAGTGCCTCCACTCAACC